GGGTAAAGGGTCCCGGCATAAATGGTGATGGAAGGAGACTTGACTTGGGATGGTGAACACACAATTCCATACAGATGATGCACTACAGAACTGCATACCTAAAACCTATGTAATGTTATTAAGAAATGTCACCCCAATAAATTCAATTTTTAAAAAAGAAAAAAAGACATAATGACTGCAGCCCTACATTTAGAACACAGACATCTGAAATTCCCTGTAGGATTTAAGAAAATTGTCAATTGGGTATATCAAAATAGGCGGTTGTCTAATGTAACAACATACATAATTTCTACAGAAAAAGTAGAACTTTGGCTGTCTTTCAAAATAAGAAAAGAAAAACCACATCTCAACACATGAAATCCAAAAGTTCTTATAGAAAAAATGAGGGAGTTTTTATTTAGAAACATAAATCTTAAATGAGAAATAGAAATTAAATATTATCCTTGGTATAGAAAACATAATTATCCCTACATAGAATGATCAAGTCAATGAATGTGTAGACATACAAATTACACATTGCTTTTGTTAATTGAAAAAAAGTTGTTTGAATTTATAAAATCTCTGCAACTTCGAAGTTGGAAATGGGAAGTACAGGGGAGCTTTCTCCTGAGAAGAGGAAGGGCCAATACCTTTAAAAACTACATCCCCTTTTCATCTTCTATTAACAACAGCAAGTCCTCAGAGATTGGGATAATGCCGAACCATTTGGCTAATTATGAGCTCTGTGCATTGAGCTCCCAGGGCCATGCAGCAATAGATAACCAGCTGTGCCTCCAGCCCTTCAGGTTCCCGTCTCAGTCCAGGGGCTTCACATCTGAGTCTTCTCCTCTCGCATCCACTGTATCAGGAGCCCATGACTAACTCTGACGTCCTGCCAGTCTTGATGGAACCTGAACCTTCATTGCTTGCCAGGCAGGACAGGGGCAGTGGATTCCCACTCCTTGGTCAGACTCCAGCGGAGACAGAACTGCCCAGTGAGTACTGTGGAGGCGATGGATGGAGAAGGGACTGTCAGGAGCTTTTTTTTTTTTTCATCATTAGGACAAACAGGGGAGTTGGGACAGACAGCTGGGAGGGCACCCATATAGAAAGCTTCAGATATTTGTGACCTTATAGGTAGAATCTGAATAGCTGGAGGGAAGCAACTGAGTATCATTCATTTCTGATCCCCCAGGGCCTATACTCTGCTTAGCAGAGAACAACAATCTCTGCTAAATATTGCACATAGACTCTTCCTTGGGTCTCAGAAACAGTGCGTGGGTGATAAGGCTTCCACAGGCCCAGTGCTTTCTTTTCAGTAATTTCCCTCCGTCCAGCAATGCCTCCTCTCCTGGGGCTAGCAGAGGACAAAACAGTGTTTGTGTGCATCTATGTCAGGGATTTTCTAAGAAACCTATCATTTCCCATTTAATAAAATCCACAGATTTAAATACAAAGAAAAATGGTAGAGATTTTCATAAAAATAAAAAAAGATAGGAAAAGGGAAGTACATCTTATTGTGTGGACTGAGACACATTTCAGGATGTCCACTCATTCCATGAGTGAATTACCTGGGACATGATGGGCTTCTACCTCTCTCTGCCATATCATAGAATAAAATGTCCTTCAGCCTTTCCTGGGATTGATTTTCATCAACAAACCCATTATTTCAATGTGATTTAAAACATGACTGAACATTTATTTAAAGGCAAACCTCTGTTTGCTACCACACATTTGTCAGAGATGGGTGTTATTCTCCCATTCTATGTAAGAGATACCAGCACAGACAGGTGGAAGGATTTACACACACTTACCATCTAGTGGGTGACAGCTGAGGGACTCAGACACAGGCCTCCTGATTCCCAGCCAAGGGCTCTGTTCCCTCCACTGCAGCACAATGATTGTTTCTTTCAAAACAAGGGCATCACCACCAATTCTTTCTCTTGGGGTTTAGTGAGTTCATCTGTGGTTTGCAAGGACCTTTATGAATGTAGGATCGTAGGGTTTCCTATGGATAGTAATGCATTTTTCAGCACATTTTGTAAACCCGAGATATCAAAACATCATTCCCTATACAAGATGGGTATTTTCATGGCTCTATCCTGAAAAGACTATTGCTAGTCAGACTTCAGGGAACTTTCTAATTTTATACCTTGGCAATCAGAGCATGTAGTTGATTTTGTCTAATTATTGGGAAAACTAGTATAGGTAATTAATAGTAAAATTGCTCATATATCAAAATTTTCAACTTAAACAATTATCTTTTATGCATATGTCTTTAGAATATTTTCACTCGTGTGATATGGAGAAGAGGCTTTAGAATTTTCTTAGTGCTGTCATCATAAAAAAATTGAAAATAAAATCAAGTCTATGCCTCAGGTAACACCAAGCATCATTTAAAGTGCTGAAATCGATGTATGTATTTCACAGAGAGACTTGAAGTGCAATGATGTGGTAAATGAGAACTTAGGGAATAGTATATGTAGTATGAGCATATTTAGGTAAGTTTTCAAGAAAACTGCTTATGAATGCATAACTCAATACTAATGTTATAAATATATTGAAATGAAAATGCATCCACCAAATTCATGACAGTATTTGTCTTTGAACAACTGAAGTGCAGGGGAGGATCATGCAGGGATAGCAAAATACTCTCAAGTTTTATCAATAATATGTATGAGTTCTGCCTGGCCAGTGTAGCACAGTGGATTGAGTGGATTATTTAACTAGAGGCCCAGGAGATCACAGTTGATTCCCAGTCAGGGCACATGCCAGGGTTTCAGTCTCAATCCCCAGTAGGAGGTGTGCAGGAGGCAGTGGATCAATATTTCTCATCGATGTTTCCATCTCTCTCTCCCTCTCCGTTCCTCTCTCTCTAAAAAACCAATAAAAACATATTTTAAAAATATGAGTTTTATAGCATATTTTGAATATTTACATTTTAACATGAGAACTGGATAAAAATGTACTGATAATAGTAGGTAATATTAATACAACATTTATTAATAGCCTGGCAATGGTTCCCTACACTGACTATATGTTAATATGCTCAAAGGATTTATGTGCAGAAATTCTGGTTTAATTGGTTCTAGGTTATAGCCAGTCCATCATTACATTTTAAAAGATGGATAGACAATCATAATGATCAAATACCATTGATAACCAATGTTTAAGTATTTTATATTTATAATTTAATTTTATTTTTTTACAACAACCCTATAAGGTCAGTTTAATTAATATATCTATTTTACAGATGATCAAACAACTCAAGTGTTTGCAATAGTAGTCTTTGTTCTTTTATCCCTTTTAATTTTTCCTAAATTATATCATTTTAAAAATGCAAAAATAGCTTATTATAATATTGCTTACTTACGTAAAGTTAGGTAGTATTTACAAAATGGAAATGATAAGATATATCCATAGAAATCTAGCATGTCACACAAAGGAATACATATTTTGACAAAGCAATACTTCAGTAATTATATCATGTTTTGACCTGACAAAAGAAATTACCTGAGTTGCCTTCAGGGGGCTGAATTTAGGAGAAATGCAATCCCTCTCTAAGGAAGAACTGACTTGGAAAGCTCTTAAAATGGCATAAAAACGCCAACGTAAGATTTGAGGCCTGGCTTTGGTCCTAAATTTCTCAACTGTTCATTGGAGAGTTGGTTTTGATGAGAAATCAACCCTTCACAAATGTTTGTGATTAGAGACAAATTTAAGAAGTTTTACCAATCCACTCCAAACCAAAACAGAAAAGTGCAAACTCAACCTCAGATGTTTCTCTGAGATTCTGTATCACTTATGGAAAATAACCTTTCAAAAAAGAAAAATAAATACAGAGTATTCATGAAAGTTATTATTTAACTAGAGGCCCAGTGCACAAAATTCGTGCACTCAGCAAGGGGTGGGGAGGAGGGGAGTCCCTTAGCCCGGATTGCGAGAGGGCGCAGGCCAAGCTGAGGGACCCCACCAGTGCACGATCAGGGCCTGGGAGGGATGCGGGAGGTTGGCCAGCTGGGGAGGGAACATGGGAGGGCTTCAGGGCTTGTCTGGCCCATCACGCTCAGTCCTGATCGACCGAACCCCAGCAGCAAGCTAACCTACCAGTCGGAGTGTCTGCCCCCTGGTGGTCAGGGCACGTCATAGCGAGCGGTTGAGAGGCCTTAGCATATCATTAGCATATTACGCTTTGATTGGTTGAACGGACGATCGGATGACCGGACAATTGGATGACCAGACACTTAGCATATTAGGCTTTTATTATATAGGATAATTGATGCATTCTAAATTAATACCATCTTCAGGATCAGTGGTGCTGTATGATTTTGTGCATTTAACACAAACATATATTTCAAAATGTAAAGTGCACCAAGAACAAATAATTATATGTGAGTTATATTTGAGGGGACTTTGACCAGACAATTCACACATTTAAGTAAGCACTTATCTCTGTGGAAAATGGATGTCATACAACCAAATAAACATAAAAACCGTAATGATAACTGCCATATAAAAGTGCTATCTGATTATGAGTAATTTATTTTAAGTTAGAATACAGTTAATGTGGTTTTAGCTCCTCTATACTACATTCCAAGTTAAAAGCATTTCTTATACTGCATTTGGGTGAGATAAAGTACATTCAATCTCTTAGTGTCTTTCAATTATAATGATTTTTGTCTTAGAAAAGAATATTTCTCATTCCACATTTTTCCTTCAAAAGTGAAAGGCTGATATTTTATTCTGTTCATGGACTTGTAGTCTCAAAATGTTCTTTTATCTCTAATATTTATTGACCCAGTGTCTCTGCAGTGAGCATATATGGAAACAGGTGAATAGCCCAGACATTAATAAGAAAAGAATTCTAAAAAAGTTAGCAACTGAGAAATGTCACTGAAGGTAATAAAAGGAGAGGGTGTATGCTCCTCAATTGTAAATACTTTATTTATGAATTGCTTGAATCCAAAATATGGACACCTGTACACTTGTTCCATATATTTAATACTCTCTTCTTTTTCAAAATGTGTCCTATCTGCATAGAACCACAGAATCGGACAGCTGACTCTGAATTCCTCCTCCTGGGACTCTCAGGTGATCCAGAAGTGCAGCCTCTTCTGTTTGGGCTGTTCCTATCCATGTACCTGGTGACCATGCTCGGGAACCTACTCATGATCCTGGCTGTTGTCTCTGACTCCCACCTCCACACACCGATGTACTTCTTCCTTTCCAATTTGTCCTTGGCTGACATCAGTTTCAGCACCACCACAGTTCCGAAGATGCTGCTGAACCTCCAGACACACAGCAAATCCATCACCTATGCAGGCTGCCTAACTCAGGCTACCTGTTATTCTCTTTTTGGATGTTTGGACAGTCTACTCCTGGCTGTTATGGCCTATGACCGGTTAGTGGCCATTTGTCAGCCCCTACACTACCTGGTCATCATGAGCCCCCGCCTCTGTGCCTTGTTGGTCCTGCTGTCATTTTCCATCAGCCTTTTGGACTCCCAGCTGCACTACTTCCTTGTGTCACAACTTAGCTTCTGTGCAGATGTGGAAATCCCTCATTTCTTTTGTGAACCTTCTCAACTTTTCAAACTTGCCTGTTCTGACACTTTCACCAATGACATATTGATCTACTTTATTGGAGCCATCTTTGGTGGTGTCCCACTCTCATGGATCCTTTTCTCTTACTATAGAATTGTGTCCTCCATTCTAAGAGTCCCATCAGCAGGTGGGAAGTATAAAGCTTTCTCTACCTGTGGCTCTCACTTGTCAGTTGTTTGCTTATTTTATGGAACAGGCCTTGGTGTATACCTCAGTTCAGCTGTCTCATCTTCCCTGAAGAAGGATGCAGTGGCCTCAGTGATGTACACTGTGGTCACCCCCATGCTGAACCCCTTCATCTACAGCCTGAGGAACAGAGACATCAAGAGTGCCCTATGGAGGATGATCAGAAGACCAGTCTGATCTCTATACCTGTGCTATCATTTTTGTTCATAGACTGGAAAAAGCAGCAAAATCAAACAACAAGAAATTCTGAATATGGCCTTGCCAGTGTGGCTCAGTGGTTGAGTGTTGACCTTTGAACCAGAAGGTCATGGTTCGATTCCCAGTCGAAGCATGTGTCTGGGTTGCTGGCTTAATACCCAGTGTGGGGCATGCAGGCGGCAGCCAATCAATCAATGATTCTCTCTTATCTTTGATGTTTCTATCTCTCTCTCACTTCCTCTCTGAAATAAGTAAAAATATATTAAAAAAAAAAGAAATTCTGAATATGTAGTAACATAGTGTATACTATGTACCTATATGGCTCTTTGATTTCTGTTTACATAATTTTTCCTCTTAGCACAGCTGTAATGGAATTGGGAGATTAATTTGGACTCCTTACTTAAATCATTGCTCCTCCAGGATTATGCAGAGGGCATCAGTATACCTTTCTCACTTTCCTTATGTACTATCCAAGACTCTTGGTTATGAGCAGTCTTGTTTCAGTCATTATAAATAGATACAGATAGACAGCTTTGTGGGAGGGTGTTGGGGTGGTAGTGGGTGGAGGGATTGAAGACAAAAGAAAAACAAAAGAGGGAGAACTCATGGACATAGACAACAATGTGGTGATTTGGGTGGCGGTGGAGGTGGAAGACTGCATAGAGGGAATAAATGGTGATGGAAAAAAGAAAAGAAAAATAGCTCTCTCTTTCTGTTATTTATTCTTTCTATACTTTCCTCATGACTCTTCTCTATTTTTTCATATTTTTGCTCCTTCATCATCTTGGTCAGATTCTTGAGAAAATGGGGTGATTATTTTATTTCTTGTTCAAACCAGAACATCTTGAAATTAAATAGTTTAATAACGTGTTTGAATAAATTCTTATCAACAGGAGTTTCCTAGCAAAACTGGGATATATGATTCCCAATATTCCTTATAATTCTTTTCTCCATTCTATCTAACATCTCCTCCATCAATTACATAGCCCAACATGAAAAGACAAATACTGTATAATTCCACTTATATGAGGCACCTAAAGTAGTCAAATTCATAAAGACATGAAATAGAATTTTGGTTTCCAGGGTCTGTGGGAAGAGGGATAGGGAGTTAGTGTTTAATTGGGAAACAAAGAGTTTCATTTTTGCAATATGAAAAGAGTTCTGGAGATGGATGGTGGTGATGGTTAAACAGCAATGTGAATGGACTCAATACCACTGAACTGGACATTTAAAATGGTTTTGATGGCAAATTTTACGTATGGTTATTTTACCACAATAAAATAAAAGATGTCCTATTAGGAATGAGGGACAAGTCGCTCCAAATGTTGGGTGTACCACTTACCCCTGAGCATCAACCTTCATAGGGATCTGCCTCAACTTCAGAGAGCCATGTTAACCAAAGTCATGCCTCCTTCTGAAGCAGCCCACATTTTGGCACCAATTCCAGCCAACAGTAAAAAATCATCCTCAACCCAGACCTTCCTGGTGATTTTAGGAGACCTTTGATGGACTTCAACTTGGCTTGACTTCTTCCACAGCCCTTCCTTGTTACAAAGAGTTTGCATAACCACAGAGTGTGAGGGAACAGTCCCTGTAAGACTGTTTTCACTTCAGATACCAGCCACAAGTTCAGGAGTCCCCAGGGCCACCCTCACTTCAGACCATTTGGCCACAAATTCAGGGACTCCCTCACATTCAATAATTTGCTAGAATGACTCACAGCGGGGCAATTTCCTCAAGTTTAATAATTCACCTGAATGAGTCACAGAAATTAGAACAGTGCTACACTTATGATTACAGTTTTATTATAGCAAAAAAATACAAGTTAGAACTAGTCTAAAGAAGATGCACATCTGGAAATATCTGAAATGTTCCATGTATAAAGCTTCTTGTTGTTCTCACCCCATGAAGTTCTGATACATTACCTCCTCCTGGCTACAATATGAGATAACACTCACAGAATTGCCAACCTGGTATCACACCTGAGCACTAGTGGCCAGAGGTTTTATTTTATTATTTTTAATCCTCACCTGAGGATATATTTATTGATTTGAGAGAGAGGGGATGGAGAGAGAAGAGAAAGAGAGAGAGAGAGAGAAATATTGATTGGCTGCCTCCATAGGTGCCCAGACAAGGGATTGAACCCATGACCTTTTAATGTATGGGACTATACTCCACCCAACTGAGCCACACTGGCCAGAGCAGACAGAGGTTTTATTGAGACTTCATTATGTAGTTGTGATAAATTGAATTATTGCCCATTTGGTGGAACTCAGTTTCCAGTCTTTCTGCCCAGGGCTGATGTCAGTTGGCCTAAAGCTCCATCTCTTGATTTACATGGTTGGCCTTTTTGGCATGACCAATTCCCTTGTTGAGTCATCTCATTAGCATAAACTATCAGATACGGTCCATGGGGCCCACCACAAATAAGCAATCGATGACTCCTATCACTAGGGAAATTTCAAGGGCTTAAAGGTTACTTCCCAGGACCTAAGACGAAGGTCATATTTCTCTGTAAGTGAAGCCATATTCATGACAACTGATCTGCTCTTCCACAGGTGTTGATTCTAGGAGCACTGGCTGGTAAACGCCCTGCATGCTAATCACTGTCACAGTCTGCTTTGCAGGGAAGCCAACTGGGGATATCTTCTTACTAATAAAATTATTTGGGAAACTTTTAAAGACAATTCCAAGAAATTATTTAAATAGTCAGCAATGATCTGCAAATTTCAAACCCAGGATTGGGTCAGAAATGGGAAATTTCAAGGACAGGAGATGAAGTATTGAATTTTGGGCATTAGGAAGGTACCCATAGAAAATCTTAATGAATCTAGAAATCCAAACTCAAAGATATTAGAAAGAAAGGGAGTGAGAGTTTGAAATAATTAGGTAACATAATATCTGCATAAGTATAACACTTCAAAAAGTTTATTTTAAAATATGAAACCCTAGCAGTAGTCAGCAAACTCATTAGTCAACAGAGCCAAATATCAATAGTATAATGATTGAAATTTCTTTTGAGAGCCAAATTTTTTAAACTTAAACTATATAGGTTGGTACATTGTTATTAACTTAATTAGGGTATTCCTAAGGCTTAGGAAGAGCCACACTCAAGGGGTCAAAGAGCCGCATGTGGCTCGCAAGCCGCAGTTTGCCAACCTAGGGCCTAGGGCAGTGATGGAGAACCTATGACACATGTGTCAGAGGTGACACGTGAACTCATTTTTTTGGTTGATTTTTCTTTTTAAATGGCATTTAAATATATAAAATAAATATCAAAAATATAAGTCTTTGTTTTACTATGGTTTCAAATATCAAAAAAATTTCTATATGTGACACGGCACCAGAGTTAAGTTAGGGTTTTTCAAAATGCTGACACGCCGAGCTCAAAAGGTTCGCCATCACTGGCCTAGGGTGGAAATAAAATATGAGTCAAGAATGATAATTTATTTGGCCTCTGTCATCCTCTTCAAACTTCTAGATGCCCTGTGGTCCAATCATAAGCACCTGCCTGCCCCTGATTTTTGTTACAAGTTTGACCAGGTTCCCTTGATTCCTCTGTAGTTTAGATTTGGAAGGCATTGAGAACAGGGTTAATGACACTGTGTAATACTAAAATTATTCCTGTCATCCTGAGAAGAGAAGGTTTCTGAACAATCAAGGAACATTCCAAGGCTTATCCATTAGAACATAGAAATACACAGACAGGTGGCATCAACTAATGGAAGGAACTTTAACTGCATGCTGGCAGACATCCTACTTAACTCTCTTCTTGTTTCCACTGTTAACATTCACTAGCATATTGCTGCTCAGATTTTCAGGTGAGAAAGTTATAGCTATTAATATTATTATTAATCTATTCTTTCATTACAATTATTTTTTATATAACTCTTCCAAAGTACAGTATAGAGCTGTTATTTAGAAATAGGATGTGAGTCAGACTTCCTGGATCAGAATTTGGTCTACCATGTTACATCTCTGTGACCTTGAAGAAGTTATTTAATCTCCCTCAGCTACAGATACTTCATCTTCACAATGAGAGTTTTAAATATTCCTTACATTGTAGGACAGATGTGTGATTAAATGACATGATGCATATAATTTTTCTAGTGTTGTTCCTGTGATATAGAGTGGGCATGTGATAAAAGCGAATTTCTGTTCTTAACATCACAATAAAGCTGTCTTACATGGTAATCATTTTTAGTATTTCTCTAAAACTTGGGCAGTCATCATTGTAAATACAACATGTCTATTATTTTTTTTTTTATCACCATGCAGCACTTCTAATTAATGAAGATCCTTATGGTTTCCTAGTTCAGAGACTTCCTGCCAAGTGGATTTTAGCCGCTGATGTTGGTGTTCAATAATGGCCTCTCCCTGGGAATTATATGGTATTCCTGTAATGTGCTGATTTTTCCACTTTTTACAAAATTGCTGGAAATGACAGCTTGTGTAAGCAGGCCCATTATCAGTTTTAATAATTTTTGAAATTCCCATGATGGCAAAAGCAGCTAGGCAATGATTAATAACCTCTTTTGCCATTTCTCCTGTAGATGCAATAGCCCATAGGACTTTTGAAAAGGTGTCTACAGAGACATGCAATGCCCCAAGGCATCCAAAGGTGTTACATCCATTTGCCAGATATGGTCCCTTAGTAAACCTCTAGGGTTGACTCCTGTGTTAGGCCCTTGAGGTAGATGTAACATGCAAGTGGGACATTCTCTGATAATCTGTTTTGCCTGCTGTTGAGAGATTGAGAATTGTCTAGTAGCATTTTGGCAGGCTGATGTCAAGCTGATGAGACTCTGAGGCCTGTTTTTAATAAAGCAACCAATGATCAGCATGTGCATTTCCTTTAGTTAATGGGCTGGGTAATAAACTGTGAGCCCCTATGTGAGTAATATAAAAAGGATATTGTCTCTGTTGTACAATCTGCTGAACTTGTTTAAATAGTAAAAATAAACTTTGGTCGTTGAGCCATTTTTTTTTTTTTTTTTTTACACAGAGGAGCCATTTTTCAGGCACTCTGCTCTCTCCTCACATCCCAATTGAGCCATTTTAAACAAGCAGTGTCAATTCTATTTACTAAACCTGCAGCGTAAGAAGAGTCAGAGATAATATTAAGAGGCTTTTGAAAATTCTGTAATGCAGCCTTAATAGCTTCTAATTCAATTCTTTGTACAGAAGTATGACTAATTTGGATGACTCAGTCTAAATTCATTGTATGATAAGCAGCTTTGCCGTTAGACGATTCATCAGTAAAAACAGTTAATGCTTCAGAAATAGGTTCCTGCCTAGTATTTTTTGGTATAATAATAGGGGTATAATACAGAAATTGTAATAATTTGTCTTTTAGTAGGTGACAACTAAGTTCCCCTGAATATCCACTCAGTCCAATTTGCCAATTTAAATCAGTCTGAAATAACATTTCTAATTGCTTCCCAGTGAGGGGAAGGTAAATGCATTGGGGTTCTTCTCCTCTACGCTGTCTGCAGAGCTTTCTAAGTTGAAATATCAATTGAGCCATAAGTTCTGTATATATAATTGCAGTTTTAGAGGATTGATGTCCTAGGTGGACCTATTCAATAATAGCAAGAGAGTCTTTATTTTGGAAGATGGCTCCAGTGGGACTATTTGCAGTAGGCTTAATCTGTCCCAATAAAGGCAATTCAGGCAGTACTCGTGCCACTTGGGCTAAGGAGATTGCCTGCTCAATTCTTTGTAACTCCTTTTTAGCTTCATCTGTCAAAACTCAGGGCGAGGAAAGATTAGAGTCACCTCTAAGTATATTAAATAAATTTATCATCTCTCCTGTAGAGATTTTTAGATAAGGTCTTAACCAATTAATGTCCTCTGATAATTTTTGAAAGTCATTTACGGTTTTAAGGCAATCTTTTCGTATTTCTTCCTTTTGAGGCCTAATATATTGGTTTTCAATTATGGTTCCTAGATATTTGAAAGGCATTTCTTTCTCTACTTTTTCTGGAGCAATTTTAAAGCCTCAATTTAAGAAATTCCTTTTCTAATTGAGAAAACATTGCTTAAGTCTGTTCTTCCCATGGACTTGCTAGGAGCAAGTTATCTATGTAATAGACAATATAACACTGGGAATATTTGTCCCTTAAAGGCTGAATAGCTTGAGCTACATATTTTTGACATAAAGGAGGGCTATTGCCCATTCATTGAGGCAAAACTTTCCATTGATATCTTTTCATAGGCTCTATATTATTAATAGATGGTACTGAAAAGGCAAATCTTTGTTTATCTTGCGGTGCCAAGGGAATGGTGAAGAAACAATCCTTAAGATCTACTACTATAAGAGACCAATCTAGAGGGATTTGTGAAGGTGCTGGGAGTCCAGGCTGTAAAGCTCCTGTGGTATGCATAGTAGCATTAACGGCTCTAAGATCATGTAACAATTGCTATTTTCCTATTGCCTTCTTAGGGATTGTAAATATAGGAGTATTCCAAGGACTATTGGATGGTTCTATATGACCAGCCTCTACTTGTTCCTGTATTAATTCATGAATATGACTTAATTTCTCCTTGGTTAATGGCCACTGATCCACCAATATACGTCTATCATCTTTCCATTGTATAGGATCAGCATGGGGGTGAGGAGATTGAGCAGTGACCACCCTATGAGCAGTGACCACTCCTAAAAAGGCTGATCTAATCCTTGTCTTCCCGTGTTTCCTTTGGCTTGAATGGGTTCTTTAATCCCCTGATTATCTTTTCTTAAACCTTGACCAGCTTGATATCCCATCTGCGTTATTAACTGTTGTCCCTTGCCGGTAATAATACAAGTTTGTAAACCTTCTAAAACATCTCAGCCCCATAAGTTGACTGCAATTCCAGAGACTAGGGCTGAAACCATCCTGCTTGTCCTTCCTCATATTGCCACTATAACACTGCAGCACTGCGCTGCGTATTATCAGGAATTCCAACTCCCATAACAGAGCCCATAGCTTCTATCATGGACCAACTTGGAGGCCAGAATTCTTGACTGATAACACTAACATCTGCTCCAGTGTCTACTAAACCTTTAAACAGTTTTCTCTCTATTCTTAGATTGAACATAGGATGGGCCTCGCTAATTTTCTGTATCCAATATATATCTGAGCTTCCAAATCCTTGTATTCCTTGCTTCCTATTTATAACTTCACCTTGCTGAATATAAGGTAAAAGAAGAAGCTGAGAAATTCTTTGTCCTGGAGTAATTTGCATAATACGTTTGGATTCTAATATTACCTTGATTTCTCCCATAGTCTGAATCTATGACTCCAGGAAAAAGTCAATCCTTTTAGAGTATTTTCACTTCTCCCTAAGACGAAGCCTGATGTTCCTAGTGGCACAGGTCTCCAAATTCCTGTAGGAACAACTTGTCTAGCCATATCAGGGATCGGGGTGATTGTTACTGTACTATTGAGATCTAAGCCTGCACTTCCTGGAGTGAGTTGAAGGAAGGAATCTACTTTGGGCCTGGCAGGGTGGAAATTCCCCTTATTTAACAACAGGGCGGGGGGACCCCACTCTGGCCGTTTCCCTGCGGCTGGCCATTTCTTATGTCTTGATTTAATGGCTGGCCATTTCTATGAAATAGAAATCTACATTGGCTAGTCCAATGATTCCCCTTCTGACATCTGGGACATAGACCTGCATTACCTAAATTGGGAGGCGGAATGCTCATGCCTTCTCCTAGAGTGCCACCTTGTGTCCTTTTTGGTTGCTTGCATTCCTTTTAAAATGTCCTTGCTGTCCGCAATTGTAGCAATTTTTATTTTTCGTTGTTATTGTGGCAGCTAATAAGCTTGCTTGAAAAAAATTTGACCCCACAGTCTAACATTCTTGAATCATTTCTGTAATGGTACTATTTTTTTCTTAGAGGCGTTAGACATTTCTTACCATCAGCATTTGGCATTTTCATAAGCTAACTGCTGAGTCAAAATGTCTCCTGGTCTCTCATGTTGAATCTCACTGATGGAGTGAGGCGAGCTACAAAATCAGAGAATGATTCAGTGGGCCCCTGCATGCACTTACTGAAGGCTCCCTCAGGTTCCCCTTTTGCTGGTAAACTCCACCAGGCTTTTCTTCCACAAAGTCTAATTTGCTCATATGCCTGTTGAACATATTGGAGCTGATTCTGGACGTAGCTAAATTGCCCCTGTCCTGCAAGCATTTCAAAGGTTATGGGAACATTCTGTCTGAGATTTGAAGAAGCTTGTTCTTGACATTTCTCTAAAAATTCTCCTTCCATAGCAAATAATCTCCTCCATCCAGAGTTGCAGGGGCCAGAGAATACCAATCATAAGGAGCTAGGAATGCATCAGAAATGTTAGTTATAATTTCTCTAGTAAATGGAGCATTGGGACTATTCTGTATCACACTATCACGCAAGGCCTTTATCATTTTAAAGTCAAATCTTTCATGCTGTCTTATTATTTGATTTGGGAATTGTGGGTTAGCTACCTGTATAATAGGAAAAGCAAGTCTATCCTCCACTGTCATGTCCTTTAATCCTCCTTGGATAGCTCTTTGCATAGGTGATTCTATTAGTGGTGAGTTAAATGTTTCAGGATCAGGACATGAAGGCCATTCCTCCAATTTATCTTTCTGCTCCTCTTTAGGAGCGGAGAGTGCAAAGGGAGGAGGATTTTCTTCTCTGAAAGGCTCTAGCAAATGCAATACCATTTTCCACCAGGAGAAACAATTTGGAGGCAAACTTTTCCCCTGCTGCTAAGCTTCTTTCAAGTTCTGACTTATTCTTTCCCAACATACAACATCCAATGTACCCTCGTCAGAAAACCATGGATTATATTCTATAATAATCAGTAGAAACCGTAAAAGAGGACCTTCTGACACTGCAATTTCCTTATCCTTGAGCATGCAAGCCAAAAGTCTACAAGAAAGTCTCTCCCCTTTCGACGAATTCTGCCCCATTATGATCTGGCTGAAACAAAAGAAATTACCCGAGCACTTACGGATCTGTGGGCTTCATATCTGACATGAGTTTTGCATGCAATTATTCTTCCACCACCGATCGGTGATTTGTTTTTCCGCTCTGGTGCATACTTTTTCTCCAAGTCCCAGTTCAAGGGTGCCAAATGTGAAGCCACGGCTCACATGGCCTCGGGTTCAAAGACTTGGAGAAAGGGCTGACACGTAAATTAAAACACAAGACAAGAAATATAAATTTGGAAATTATGGGGGAAGCCAGTTGTGAGCTTGGTACAAAGGGACCAAGTTCCACTGAGTCTCTGTTCCCATCTGTTTTTATTTACTAGACTACACAATTGCCTTTTAGGAACGCAAATAGACATATCAATGGTAATGTTTAGTAAACAGTAAGATTATCAGGTTGGGGGAGTTTGCTTTAGGCCACTGAGTCAGCGGTAGGCAACAAAATGCAGATATTCAGCCCTGTGAATATCAAAGAGCTCCATTCATCCTTCTGACCAGACTTCTCAGACTTCTCCCATTTATATTAATTACTGTTGCTCTTGGTTCCCAGCAAAATTTAAAGCATTTTCCACCTGTGGATCTCACCTCTCCATGGTCTCATTGTTCTATGTGACAGGCCTGGGGGTCTACCTCAGTTCTTCCCTACACAACTCAGTTGCCTCAGTCATGTACACTGTGGTCACCCCCATGCTGAACCCCTTCATCTACAGTCTGAGGAACAAGGATGTGAAGGGGGCCCTGAGAAGGTTCCTCAACCTAGCAGCATCTTGTCTGTGATGGATCACTGGCCTCAGAACTAAGGGTACATTGTGGGCCCCAAAGGTAAATGTTGCAAATTTAGGTATCTGGTTCTTTTTCACTCCTCAAAGACAGGCTTGATTTCTTCTATTTCCAAACATGTGTGATTTTGCTTTTGTTTGTTTTTATATAATTTTTTCTCAGAAATTCCTTTTTTACTTTTCTTCCTTATATGGAGTAAACAGTGTTCCATCTTTGGTCAGCAGTTTTTCAACTATTCTTAAGATTTCTCATTTAAACTTAAAGCATTTATCATATCAAGTGCTGACTTAGTTTCCCAAAAAGTTGTCCTTATATGTTGCTGATATTCACCTTAATTGTGTTGTATCCTTTTTTTTCCAGATTAAATTATATGAAAATCACACAGTAATCAGAACAGCATGATAATGCTATTAGGACTCTTCTTGTTTCTTCACATGAATGATTTAATTTCATCTTAAAAATACTTTTTGAGATATTTTCTCTCATTCACTTTACTTTTCAAAAAGTAAATTGAAGTTGGACAGAATTGAAGTTGGACTAAACCTTGGAAAGCTGACTTTACTATCCTACCTTTCACAGGAACTGTGATGTGATTTTCAAGTTCAGAGTAGGAATCTAGATTTGAAAGATGATTTCTTCAGATAACAGAGGAATTTACTGCCTCAAAAACTGAGAAGTGTCATTTTTTTGTGATCCTTCCTTTCTTTTTTTTAAATTTGACTTATATTTCACATTATTGCAATGTTGATATACACCTTCTAAGATCCAAAGCCATGTAATAGTGAGTACAATAAAATAAGAGTTGTTTTCTCAAGTGATTTAATTATTTTCTGGCACTCTGTAGGGATGCCTCAGGAAGAATATTACACATTTGTGGAACATGTTTAGAACTTAATTCTTTTGGGGGGAAGAATGTTGACAAAATTGATTCTGCAAGGAAGCATGGAGGAGTACATGCTGTCAGCATTTCCCCCACATTCTCTGACATCCTCTCACCATTTCCATTGCATGACTGCCAACATCCAGTACCAGCTGGAACCTACTTTGCCCCGTATGTGGTAGCAGAACTGACAGGGAATTATGTCCTATCAGAGGCAGCTCTTGATGGAGAGGTGTAGAGTATAGCATGTCTTTCCTCCTTTATTTGGAATAATGCTGAGGTTTATGCTTTTTACCATTTACAGGAATTTCCCCACAAGATAAAATCTCTGTTTATTCACAATGGTAGGTGCTATAATGCAAGCTTCATTCAATATATTTTGTTTTGTGTATCAGTTCCCCTCTCTCCCATCTATGTTCCTGGCCCCTTCCAATAAAGTGTTTGAACATAAACCCTTGACTCAGCATCTGCTTTTGCATGAACAAAAATCAACACAGGGGCTAATAATGGGATGTATTAAAATAGATCAACCGAAGGTCTTATATGCATGCATATAAGCATAACCAATGGACATAAGACACTGGGGGGTAGGGGAGACCAGGGGATTGTCAAGGAGACATATGTAATACCCTTTGTAATACTTTAAGCAATAAAAAAAAAAATTAAAAAAAAATATGTTTCCATTTAAAAAAAATAATATCATGAAAGGAATTAGGGACTTTGGAGAAAAAATAGAAACTAATTGTTTGGGACATAGTAAGGATTGTACAATTACTCAAAAAACTTTATATAAAGGAAAGACTTATTTGATGTGACTTCAATTAATCTTGTTTTCATTTCGTTTAATTCAATGTGTGTTTATTGTCTACTCTACAAACTGAGAAAGAAACCAGAGAGATACAAATAATTGCATTGTGGAGTGATGAGCTTAAGAATGTTGGTATGTAGCAGATCCTGTTCAAAAAAAAGTTTTAAGCTCACATTGAGTAATTTCAGAAAAAACTCTTTAAAATTTATGTTTTAATATTTTTATTGAGATACTAGAGGCCTGGTGCACAAAATTTGTGCATGGGTAGGGTCCCTAGGCTTGGCCGGCCATCAGGGCCGATCTGGGCTGATCTGGGCCGATCCGGGCCTTCTGGCTGTCAACCAGGGGCCTTCCTTCCAGCTGCTGGCTGGGGTCAACTGCCCACTTAGGCCTTCCTTCATTCCGAACCACCCCCTGGTGGTGAGCACATGTCATAGTGAGCGATCAAACTCCTGGTCTCCCAGTCAAACTCCTGTGGGGACACTTTGCATATTAGCCTTTTATATATATAGATAGTTTACACACATATAGATAGTTTACACACATTTACTAAGATAATTTACTAAGTTCGATTATCTTAGTAAATTTCTAGTGTTATGTATTCGTTAACAAAATCCAGTTTTACAATATTTTTATCACCTCAAAACTATCTTTTTGCCCACTTACAACTAATTACCACTTCCACTTTAGCATAGGAAACCCCTGATCACTTTCTGTCTTTACACATTTGTGTTTTCTACATATTTCATATAAATTGAATCATAAAATATGTGGCCTTTTGTATCTGGCTTCTTCTATTTGGTGTATGTTTTATAGGGTTATTCATGTAGAAGTATGTATCAATATTTTATTCCTTTTAATTGCAGAATAGGCTTCTATTGAATGTTTATACCACATTTTGCTCATCCATTTATAGCTGATGAACATTTAGATATTTCCAGTTTGGAGATGTTAATAATGCTGCTGTGAACATTTGTGCACATTTCATTGTACTGATACATATTTTCATTTGTTTTGGGTAGATACCTTGGAGTGCAATTACTAAGTCATATGGTAAATTTATGTCTAATTTTTAAAGAAACTGCCAAGGTTCTTTTTAAAGTAGTTAGACCAGTTTTACATTCCCACAATGAATTCATGAAGGTTTCATATTTTCCACATATTTACCAATACTTAGTATTCATGAAAAACTGCTAATAGAAGGATATGCTTGAGTATTAAATTAAAAAATGAGAAGAAATTTAACTGAGGAATATGTTAGGTAACATTCAAGAGACATTCAAGAGTATGACAATAAGGAAGATGTATGGAGCTATGGCTGAGTTACTAGAAATAGCTTAGATACATAGATAGACATCAGACCCTTGAGGTCATTATAACTTTTTCATTTGTTTATACAGCAAATGAAATTATTGCTTCTATTCTAGCCCTAAGGCCTTCTTCTCCATGCAAAGACTCTATTGACTAGAGGTTGCTGTTTTAGGTTCATTCTGTCTGAACCTGAGGAAAACCAGGGTGTTCCTCTCACTCCATTTTTATCTGCATTTTCTTTTTCTTGAATCTTCTCAGTCATGGTAGATCAGTAGTTTTCACCCTGGAGTAGTTTTTCTTTTTAAAACAATATAGCACACATTTGAGTATCAGTTGTGACCTTAAGACCACCTATGTATCAGATGTTATGGAATGTCCCACTGACCCTCTTTTTATTAGTGTACCTCATTCACTGTCTTCCATCACAAAAGACCAATAGAAATCATAGAAGAGGTTCTCCCAAAGCTTATACAAAAAAGGTGACCAAAATAAAAGCAAAATCATCAAATATAAATAAATTGAACCACATCCAAGTAAAAAGCTTCTGCACAGCAATGGAAGCCATCAACCAAATGAATAGGCAAACTAACAGAACAGGAGAAAATATTTGCATATCATATATCGTATGAGGGGTTATTATCCAAAATATGTTAAAACCTCACACAACTCAATAGCAGAATCCGAACAATCTAATTTAAAAATGGGCAGAGGATCTAAATAGACATTTTTCTGAATAAGACATATAAATGGCCAAGAGGTACAGGAAAATGTGATCAGTTCAAGATGGCAGCAGAGTAGGTGCAAGGTACACTCACCTCCTCCCAGGACCAAACTGGAATTACAACTAAAATATAAAACAATCAACCTGAATAACCAATTGAAGACTAGCTGCACAGAAGTCTTATAACCAAGAATTTACAGAACAAGCTATATCCAGACTGGTAAAAAAGTGTGGAGACATGAAAATGGCTGTCCTCACACTCATGGGCAGAGGCTGATATTCTAGAGGGATATCTCAGCTGGAAAGATTCCTGCTGAGGATCATGGGGATCTCAATCCCATGCCAGGGGATTGAGAAGTCTTGGAAGTTGGGAATGAGAAGTACAGGGGAGCTTTCTCCTGAGAAGAGGAAGGGCCCAAACCCTTAAAAAGTGCATTCCCTTTTCCTCTACTATTAACAACAGCAAGTCCTCAGAGATTGGGATAATGCCGAACCATTTGACTAATTATGAGCTCTGTGCATTGAGCTCCCAGGGCCATGCAGCAATAGATAACCAGCTGTGCCTCCAGTCCTTCAGGTTCCTGTCTCAGTCCAGGAGGCTTCACATCTGAGTCTACTCCTCTCGCATCCACTGCATCAGGAGCCCATGACTAACTGTCACACTCCAGTCTTGATGGAACCTGAACCTTCATTGCTTGCCAGGCAGGACAGGGGCAGTGGATTCCCACTCCTTGGTCAGACTCCAGCAGAGACAGAACTGCCCAGTGAGTACTGTGGAGGCGATGGATGGAGAAGGGACTGTCAGGAGCATTTTTTTTGTCATCATTAGGACAGACAGGAGAGTTGGGATAAACTGCTGGGAGGGCACACATATAGAAAGGTCCAGATATTTTTGACCTTATAGGTAGAATCTGAATACCTGGAGGGAAACAACTGAGTCTCATTCATTTCCGATCCCCCAGGGCCTATACTCTGCTTGACAGAGACAACAACAATCTCTGCTAAGTATTGCACATGGACTCTTCCTTAGGTCTCAGAAACAGTGCATGGGTGATAAGGCTTCCACAGGCCCAGTGCTTTCTTTTCAGTAATTTCCCTCCTTCCAGCAATGCCTCCTGGGGCTAGCAGAGGATAAAACAGTGTTTATATGAATCTATCAGGGATTTTCTAAGAAACCTATCATTTTCCATTTAATAGAATCAACAGCATTTAAATACAAATAAAAATGGTGGAGATTTTCATAAAAAAAAAGAGAGAGGAAAAGAGAAAGGGAAGTA